TATAAGATTTTGTTAATTTCCATGACTTTGCCAGGTCTACAAATCTCACTTTAATACAAGGTTTTCTCAAATCCTGGTTCTTCAAAAATGGAATTCAAATAAGAACCATCTTGATTTTTTTTGTTGTTTTGTCTCATTGTAAATATTTGTATTTTAGAACAATTTGGATGTGTATTGTTTCTCTGTGTAATTCGTGTGCGTGTGTTACTCACAGAAGTCACTGGGAGGGTTGTGTGTGAGGTTCCTGTAAAATTCAGTCCGATGGGCCTTCTTCAAGCCTGTGCAGAGGCCAAAGTCAGACAGTTTGACATGGCCCTACAAAACAAAGACAGTATGTTATGTGTTCAGTTTCATAGAGTACAATAGCCTTCCACAAACCTATTCATCTCCGTTGAACACAGTGACCATGTTATACTGTTTGTGTGCGAGTAAATAAGAGATAAAGGCGAATTCCCACCCGTGAGTCGAGCAGCAGGTTGTCAGGTTTGATGTCTCTGTGAATGAAGCCCAGCTGGTGAATGGAGTCAATGGCCAGGACTGTCTCTGCAATATAGAACTGCGTAGCTTCTTCCGACAGCGTGTCTTTCTTCATCAGCAGAGTCATCATATCTCCTGAACACACACACACACACAAGAGTTACGGCCTCTGGGCAGCTGCTCTAAAAATAGGACTTTCCATAGTGCTGCTACGAGCAGACTGCCTTTTCCAGTTCTAGATCCCTAACTGCTACATCAGTAAAGAACATGTGACATTTTATACATCCGTCTTCACCTCCAGGCAGAAACTCCATGATGAGATACAGATTGCGTTTATCTTGAAAGCTGTAGAACATCTTCACTACCCAGGCGCCATCAGCCTCCACCAGGATATCTCTCTCGGCCCGGATATGAGCCACCTGCCCCAGGGAGGAATACAGGTGAGGAGAGATATTATCAGTGGATCATCATGACAGGCAGGTGACTGAATTAAATAAAATCCATACCTGTTCTTTCTCCAACATGTCTGATTTCCTGAGGATCTTCATGGCATAAATGTGACCCGTGTCCTTTTTCTGAACCAGGCGGACCTAAATGCCACACAAAATGAGGATTTATGGAGAACCAACTAAGATTTTCAATGAAATGTAAGTTAATTTAGCTTCACAGTGACATCAAAATCCTTCCAGTTCCTCCAAAAAAAGCAAAGAAAAGTCAATGAGGATGAGTACAAACCTGTGTATTTCTTGCTGACTAAAACTAAAAATAAAAAATAAAATAAAAAAAAAGTTAATTGAAATAAAGCTGAAATAAAATAGAAATATTACATGGAAAACTTAAACAAAAAATATTGAAATGTTGCCTTAAACTAACTGAAATAAGTTTAAGTTGAAGTACTAAAATGACTCAAATCAATATTAAAATTAGAAAAAAAAAATAAATAAAATTATTAAAACAAACTAATATATATATATATATATATATATATATATATAAATAATAAATAATTGTACATAATACAAAAGTATCACTGTTACAAACACACAATGGCTTTTTCAGATCTCAGAGAACTGTATAACTAGACAACTTCATGGAAAAAGGCAATACTAGAATGCATTGCACATGCATCCAAGATGGTGGAAAGGTTCCGAGAAAGTTTATAAACATACTTATAGTTTAATACTGACAAATCCCTATAAAACAGGTCTATGTTTATTATTATTAGAGTATTGTGTTGTTAATGTCAAACTCTATTGCAATCAATTGTGAGTCAAGTCTCCATGAGGAAGTGTTATTTCATAACGATCATTTATGAGCTTTCATTTCATCTGGTAAAACGGTAGACGTCTATAGACACACCTCTCCAAATGCTCCTCTCCCGATCACTTTGAGGGACTCAAAGTCATCGAGACCAAGGCGGGTCCTCTTGAGCCGCAGAAACTCGGTCTCCTTACGAGCGTGCAGAGAGCGCCTCATACTCTTCTACAACAAAAATGCAAACTACTCAGGAAAATATTTTGAATCAAATGCAACAATACTCTTTTGGGCGTACATTAAGCATCACTGGCGTACTCAAAGCAGTCTGAGTCCTATTCAAACCACTACGCAGATAAGCAAAACAGGTTTTTTGTTGACACATCTATGATTATTAACTCAGGCAGTCATTTAGAATAAAACTCCAAATAGCTCTAGGGTCAGTATATCTTCTCACCTCTTCATCAGGTAAACCCTCCTCATCCATCACCATCTCCAGCTTCTTCTGCCTAAGACAGAGGGAACCGCTGCATCATGACCAGCCACAACAAATCAGCTTTATTCTAATCTGATAATACTTGTCTGAAATGATACGTTGAGTGATGTAGTTAGGGAAAACAGGTGTAGTGGGTTACCTCATCTCCCGCTCCTCGTGCTGGGTGAGCAGGGTGCTGTAGAAGTGCTCCAGCGTGAGTTTGGCCACCGTGACTCTCTCACGTGTGTGGTTACTCATCGGGAGCGGCGCTGCCATGCCTCCCGTCATGGCCATGCTAGTCTGGAACAGGAATATCATTTTCAAAACAGAGCACTGTGAATACAAATCATCATCAGTGACCAGCAACAGTAAACATATAGCAAAATAACTTTTACTAAATCAAGGTGGGTTACTATAGGTACCTAAAACTAAAACCATAAAAATACTGTTAGTTGAAATAAACTAAAACCATAAAAATACTGTTAGTGAAAATAAAATAATTTTATTTTATTTCAACTAGTTTCCAAGGGAACATTTTTTTCCACTTTTGATGAGCCAAAACAACTAAAACAAAAACTGAATAATAAAAAAAAAAAACTATATAGACATATCTAAAAAAAAAAAAAAAAAAGTAAAAAATATAATGTAATGATACTAAAATAACAATTTTAAAAAAGCGGCCAAATGGTTCATCAATTACTGGTAGGAAAATGAAAAAACCCGGAGTGGAGTTCGAAAGTGGTGATTTCAGAACGCTTCGAGTCGGTTGAAGAATTCTAGTCTGTCGCTCCGTTCCATTCATATACGTAATTCCAGGCCGGTGTTTATTCTGTGCGTTGCTGCTTGTATTCACGCGAAACTTGACGGTTTGGCTTTTTTATATCATTTTCGTTGGCAGAGAAGAATTATACCAACTAATTGACCAATTTTTGCCAGAAAAGTAAGTTACTCGAGATTAATTTCTTGTTTTTGAAAGTGTCTTAAAGGCAATATTACGGAAGCAAGAGTGTTGTTGTTCTGAATATCAAATACTTGTAGTATTGTGCCTTAAAGCCGAATCGCAGCCGCGCAGTTTTTAGTATAACAACAGCCTAATTAGCATTGTTAATGTCTAAGCATTGTTTGGATGTAAAATGTAGGCTACCCGCTCTGGACTGAGAAGGCTCCTGCACCTGCTCATGCTGCGGTCACTGATGTTCAAATGAATGTGGGAAAAGCAAACTTGATTTGAGCGCGCTCGCTCGGCCTCGCGTCTGCGTGCGTGACCTTGCGGACGTGACATGCATTTTGACAGGTTTATAAAAACAGATGCATTAACCTGGACACTCCACACAGATCACAGCGACACGGTCATATTCACTGAAGACTGAAATCAGCCACGCTTATCAGAAACACAACATCGTGATGGATAGGTGATATATAACAAACCAATATTGCGATTGTTTGTTTAGTCGTCAGACATCTGCTTCTGTATCGTATATTATGAGCGTGAGCCTGCATAAAGCTGGTGATTTACAATAGCACCACTGAGATTTATTTCCACCATCATATTTCTAAATTCTCACCTCCCCGTCCTCCTCCAGATTAGACAGTTTGCCGGACAGCCGAGGATCAAAATAAGGATGAAATAAAGCCAAGTGAATGGCCGTCAGTTGAGCAGGCGGATCGGAGTTGCTCAGTGATCGCTCATGTTTATTCTCTATTGAGGCTGATGTTTGTTGAGCGCTGCGCTGAATCTGATCCACCTCCCCACACGCGCTCACTCTGACAAATCAAGAGTCCCTGACCGCCCGTGACATTTTTCCAAAATAAAAGTTGGCAAGAAAGAATAATACTACAATAGAATAAATGAGAATAATATACATGGACAAAATAGCCCATATATTAACCGCTTCAGACCAAGCAAAACTGTTTAACTTAATATTTTTCCACCCATTTAGTGTATTTCTATTTATATATTTAAATGTTTTATACATTTTGTAAATATAGTTACCCCAGATATAAATAATAACAATAATAATGTAATTATTATGCTTTTTTTTAACCTTTGTTTTTTACATTTTCTTAAAAATGCCTAAAATGTCATGATCTCCACAAAATATTAAGCAGCACAAATTAATTATAAGAATAATAATTGAGCACCAATACAATAATTGATATTAATTGACCACCAAATCAAAATATTAGAATGATTTCTAAAGGATCATGTGACACAGAAGACTGGAGTAGTGACTGCTGAAAAGTCAAATTAAATTTTTTAATATATTAAAATAGAAAAAAAAGAATAATATTTCAAAAAGGAAATAATGTCATTATTATACGGTAACAAATTATTTTGAATTTTCTTTAAAAAATCACAATTTATTACAAAATATTAAGCCGCAAACTTAACACTGATTTCATTACTAATAATAATAAGAACCATTATTGATAATTGAGCACCAATAATAAATTATAATAATTGACCAACAAATCAGCATATTAGAATGATTTATAAAGCAACACTGAAGGCTGGAGTAAGACTACTGAAAATTCAGCTTTGTACATCACAAGAACAAATTACATTAAAATATATTTAAATAGATTTTTTTTTAAAATTCTGATAATGTCATATTACTTTCTTCTGTATTTTTGATCAAATAAATGCAGACTTCTTTCAAAAACATTAATATGTTTAATATTATATATTCATATAATTACTATTAATATATCTAATATTTAGAATATATATTCCAATGAGATTTAGTACCTCAGGATTTAACATAAGAAAATACTTCACCAGAAAATACTTGGTTCTTTCTTTATTTCAGCATAGATCACTGATGTTCTCCTTTTAACTCAAAAGCATTTTAAAATTAAGTTTTAGGTGTACAGTAAGACACATGGGATTCCTGTAATGCAATATTCAGTGTCATTATCATTAGCATTTGAAAAGATAACCACATATAATAATACCTGAGCAAAAACACAAATTACAAGATATTTAATGTAAGAAAGTAAACATGACACATATTTGTAATTTATTCTGACAGAGATGTATAATCTATTGTATTAATAATGCATAGTTATAATAATTGTTAAAAAATAGTTTTTGTGCAAGTTGCAGGACAGACAACTAAAATCAAAGGTTTAAATACAAGACATCTTCAAATTCCCGTAACAACCTCGTTTTCATGTCATAATGGTCATTGTTTAGTCCATAGATCACCTCCGGTGTCAAGAGAAAGCTGTGAAAAGCCATGCTAACTGTTCCTGGTTTTCACTCTCTCATTTACACACACACACCCACACCAACAGACTGTGCAATTTCCTTCTGCCTTATATTAGAGATACAGTCACATACAGCTACCGGCCATAAATTCTCCTCTGTAATGTCACAGTTCAGTGAAGCTCAGCTGCTGTTCATCCTTGTCTAGGTCTCATTTCGATCCATCCTCACTGATGACACTGATTTTTCAAAGATGTTTTTGCTGATGGTTCAGACACCAAAGAGACAAAGCCCAGAACTGTTAAAAAAAATCCACAAACTTTAAAATGTAATGAGTAATGCTACATATAATTAATGTTGAAGACTTTGCACTGTAGAAAAAAAATGTGTTCTAGTCTAGTCAACTCATATTATTGCTAATAAAAACATGCTGAGTTGAGCGTGTGCATTATAGGTGAGTTTAACAGGTCCTCTGTCATCGGCGGATGAGCGCAGAGACTGATAAACAGGCTAGGAACAGCATGATGGACAAGCTGATTGCCGCGGCCCCACCGCAGTCCTTAGCATTTTCCTAAAACAGACCAGAGACACAAAATATGCACCAGCGACTATGGAGACAGATAGTAATCAAAAGGCATTGCAGCAATGCATGTCTGAAAGCCGTCTAGTATGCATGTGTTTACTTGAGGGTGGTAAGCGTGACAAGACTCGGGCCTTCTTCGTATCTTCTGAGATCTCATGCGGTCACATTTCACTGAGGCATTGTGTGCTCAGTGGTTAAGAAAAATGAAGAAAAAGCAACAAACCATAGCCTTATAGCTCGATCCAGTTCACAAATATATATTTTGAAATGTAACACACTTTGTAATCCACTTTAAGTTACATTTTGGGTCGCTTTTAAAAAAATGTATAAAAGGTGCGTCCAGTAATTTGTGTAAAACATTTCTAATGAAGTAAATATACTGGTTGCACCTTTAAGTGACTAAACTGATCTCATTCAAAGCTGTGATTCATCTCCTCAGTGTGTGGTCTGTGGAGCCTGATTTAGCTGGGGTTTTAAGGATATATTTGACCTCTTTGGGCTCCATGGTGATGGGTGCGTACTGCCGAGAACAGTCACAGTCTGCCTGAATCACCACCAACAGCAAGTTACTATCAGGAATCTGATTAATTACAAACATCCTGCAGGCAATAAAAGAAAGAGAGAAAGGAGAGAGATTAAGAACAGAACAAAACGTTATTTTGAACAAGGTTATTCAGAACAAAATGACCATTTTTAAACATTTCAGTAATGCAGATACAATTTAGGATAGAGTGTGGTGCCGAGTAGACGCTCGCGAAATGAAGTCACGATGACCCCAGGAGGTAACAATAGCAACATATACCAGGCATCCTCAAATCTGGCCCACGAGATCCACTTTCCTGCAGAGTTTAGCTCTAACCCTAATCAAACCCACCTGAGCATACTAATCAATGTCTTCGGGATCATTAGAAAATCACAGGTAGGTGAGTTTGATCAGGGTTGAAGCTAAACTCTGCAGCGCATTGGACCTCCAGGGCAAGATTTGAGGAACCCTGACATATACTGTAAGACTTGAGCACATTCCGCTAGAAACTGTACATCGACCAAACATAAATACGTTTTTTTTTAAGTTTAAAAAAGTGAAAATATATAGACATTGTACAGAAGTTTGATAAATATTTGCTTGTACCATATTCATTTTTTTTAAGCGCTAAGGATTTAAGGGATGAGGTGCAAGAGGACCATAATACCATGAATAAAGCAATATGCTTAAAACAGCTATTTTCCTAAATATTACTGTCATATGCTCTATGTTGTTATACTGTAGCTTTATTTTCCAGTATATTATTTGTCTTCACCCCTAGAGGGCGTCAAAAAGACAGGAAACTACACATGTGAAGACCGTAGAGCTGACTGTGAGCATAGACTCTCTTTTGCTTGATAAACTAATACATAAATGCTGTGTTCCAAACAAAATCCGCCTCTGAGGGGCACTTTGAAATGAGAACGATAATGGCCGCCATATTGAAGGGTTGTTATAAATCGAAGTGCTCAAAACTAGCCATCTAAAAGGACCCTTCGGAATGAAGGATTTCAAAGTGTACAACTTCCCTTTGCTCCCATGTTTTTTTGTGCAGGTTTAATTTTCTTAAACCTTAATTGGTTCGGAAAGATGATGCAGAAGTGCATTCCAAGGATTTAAATCCAAGAACAGCTTAAGGTTCTCATAATTGCAACCTTACATTTTGCAAATCTGACTTGTCAAGAGCTTATTAAAAAAATATATTTAATTGTGAGATATAATCCCTTCCCCCTTCCATCTGTGGTCAAATGATCTATGTGCTTACTTTTGACATCTCCCACACTTGATCATGCTGTTGGTTTCTTTGATTGACGGCTCATAGACGAAGCTGGGATACTCAGTGTCACAGGGCTGCAGGATGTCCCCTTTTGACTTCTTACTAGCTACAAAACAAATCTACAGTTATCTTTCAAAATAGATTGTGTCCTTTTATTTTTAAATGCCATAAGCTATAGGATAATTGTATTATACACTTTGAACAACAGTGTGATTTGAATAATCTAGACAGCAATAAAAAATATATCACGTTTGATCATGAATAACAACATGACCAAATCTTTCTCTGCTCTCTTTTTCACACACAGCACTAGCAATATCACACACAGTGATGGAGACAGCACTTACATGCATGGAATAAGGTCTTGGCTGTGGCACGTCAAGATGAAGAAGGGTTACAGAATTAAAGATATAAGAGAGGAGGTGATGAAGATGAAGAAGGAAGACACAGGAACACCCACACGAACAGGCGAGGAACACAAATGAATGATGAAATGATGGTATTACTTTACACTGAGCTTTTTGCTTTACACATACCCTCCGCAAAGGGATCTGAGTGCCACAGACTGTAGATGTTGAAGTCCAGTAAAAACCTGGCAGAGAGAAAATGTCTGATTTTACAAGGGATGAACTGAGTCACCGATGTGATTTGAAGCGCAGAAAATGTTCTAACAAACAGCCACACTTACAACAGGAAGTTCGACAGGAACCATCTCAGTGCTGCCAAAAGATTATAAAAGGGCTGAGGGAGGAAGAAAAGCAGAACGAGGGAAAAAAGAATGAAGCTGGCATCCTTTCATTTCAATTACACTGAGAATTTCCGTTCAAGAACTTATGACAGAAACCATATATCTCGTCTTTTTTTCTTTACACCATCACAAAGTGTCATGGTGTGAAGGCCAAGCCTTTATCTAGATCAGCTGTGACCTGTGACCTCCACCCATACACAGTGGATTGCAAGAACAGCAATGTAATGCTTTACAAGTAACACTGATAGCATCTGATGGTTGTGTCTGTTTGAATAACGTCTACCAGAACACAACCATCAGATGCTATCAGTATTCTGGTAGACGTTATTCAAACAGACACAACCATCAGACTGTAACACTGATTACTTGTAACACTGATAGCATCTGATGGTTGTGTTCTGGTAGACGTTATTCAAACAGACAGGACAATGCTTACACTTAGCAGGGGTCGAGCGCCGCTAGCGTAGTGAGGATTCACCTTACACATGGCCTGATAGTCATAGAGTAACACTCTGTGGAAAACATGCAGTGACAGCATTGAAACCTTAATGCATTACGTCACATTTTGAAGTGTTTCAGAACACACAAAAAAGTTCTCGTACCTTTTGAACATGCCCATTTTCAAGAGCTGTGACATCACCGACCCATCAGTTTTCCCCAGAAACCTGCCAACCCACAGAGAATGCAGAGACACGTGGCTTTGAGACATTGTAGTTATTTATTATTTATTTCAACAGGATCTCTTTCTGGGTCACAACAGGAACAATGACAGCTCAGAATGAATGAGTCTGTATTAGTTCTTTTTTACATAGGGATGCTGACTTTACCGTTCAATAAAGCACTGAAATCAAATTTTAAACAGCATTTGGGCTCCGTAAGACTGCAGGCCCACATCAGAGTCAGTGTTTACTGCACCCAGTGTGCTGAATTATTCAGATAACCCCTGTTATCCCTCCCCTCCTCTATATTTACCCTGATGATGCACTGTCTGGCTCTCTCATAGGACCGCTACTAATGATGGAAAACACCTCATGCATTTATTCATTCATTCATTACCACAGTCACCTTCTTATGCTGAGTCAACGTCAAATAGAGCTTTTTTTAATCTGTGTTATTCACAGCATAAAAGTCCTTATTTAGGACCCGTTTTATTTCATGACTTCATTAACTTCTTTTTTTTTTTTTTTTGACCGTGACCTGTTTTCAACTGAACCACTTAAACGGCACTCTAGATGAAATTTTACTGTGTGTCATTCCCCATCTTAACCTAAATCTCCAGGGCTTTGAATGACTGCAAACAAACACTAAAGGGGAATTTTTTAACGTCTATATTTTTCAATTTTTCCAAGTCTTTAGAATTTCTAATAAATAGTAAATTAATAAATCAATAATAATTTCTAAACAATAAACTAAATTTAGATAAAAACACAGAATATATATACTTTATATAAATAATTTAAGAATATATATATATATATATATATACTGTATATAGACACACACAAACACACACACACATAATTTTTACTTTTATATTTTTACATTACAGATGTTTGGGTTGTGAATGCCATTTCATGTTGACCTTAACCTGTCACTTTAAGTGCTCTTACATCAGTCCTGTCCTTAGAGATGATGATGAAGCCATTATTGTCAATGACGTAGCAGTTAACATCCTGCACACAAACACAAAAAAGGAAAAGCATTTGTCACATTGAATTAGTTTTATGGAGGACTGGCGATACATATTTTTGCAGATATGTCTACAAATGCTCTAGATGCCCAGCACTTATGCACTATAAATACTACACTGTAAGACACTCACCGGATTATCGGCACAGCTTAGAGGACAAAGCCCATCTACACCTGAACACTGTGAAAGAGAGAGACAGACATTGAAGAAGACAGGGTAACAGAGCTGATGATGATGATAACCGTAAAAAAAAAAAAACGTTTTTATGGTATCGAGATTATTCTTGTATTTGTAATGAATACATACATCTGTGTCATTCGCCTGATATCCATCCAAATAATATGAGCAGCGGTGGAAAAAAAAGGAAAAGCGTTAATTGATTTGAAATCACAGGCTCAGGACTAATAGCTTTAAACTCAACTCCTGCTTATAACATCACTGTTCTGCCTTTAAGCTATCACATGGTCTGTGTAGGCTCCTGTGTGCTTTTACTCTAGCCATGAATCAGATGAGAATAGGGACAGGAGAAGCAGAAACAATTCCTCTCACAGGGACCTGTAAATATTTAGTATAACTACTGTCAAAGATCCTTACATCATATATCGTAATTTAAGCATTTGTGAGTCCTTCTGAGGGACCATTGTTTCCCTGTAAAGAATATTGAAACAACCTAAAGATACATTTATTTGCTCGAATTTTTAAGCATTATGTCTTTTTATATACAGTACTCTACTGCTCAAAAGTTTTGGGTCAGTATAAGATATATTTTTTTGTTAATAAATGTTCATCAATTATGCATTAAATTAATCTTAACAGTAAAATGTAACCGTGAAGACATTTACATTATTACTAAAAAAAATTATATTTCAAATAAATGCTGTTCTTTTGAAATTTCTGTTTATCACATAATCCTGAAAAAATGTCAAGGTTTCCACAAAAATAATGAACAGCACTAATAAATATTAAACAGCTTTCAACACTGAAATGTTTTTGATCAGCAAACCAGAATGATTTATGAAGGATCATGTGACACTGAAGACTGAGTGATGACTGCTGAAAATTCAGCTTTGCCATCACAGAAATAAATTAGACATGATACAATTGAAAACAGATATTTTAAATTATAATAATATTTCACAAAATCACTGTTTTTACTGTATTTTTGATACACTCTAAAAAACACTGGGTTAAAAACAACCCAATTTGGGTTGTTATTAACCCAAAGGCTGGGTAAATATACGACAGAACCCATCTTGGGTTAAATTTACCCAGCAAATTGGGTTGTTTATTTAACCCAGCATAATGGGTTGATTTAACCCAGCTACTGGGTTTATTAATTTTCACTATATTACTAGCTTATTTTTTACTTCATACATTAAGTAAGGTTTACAGATTAATTTAAATCCTCTAAACTTTTCTAAAATACTCCACACAACCACTGGTTTGCATGATAACTTCCTTTATTTTCCTTTATTTATCATTTACAGCATTGTTTATATAGTTTTTAATAGGCTATACATATTGCCTATATTTAAACTCGTTTAACAAACATTAGAACAAAAATTCAACATTAAACAGAAGTAATTCACGTGTAATCGACCAGTCTCTGTTATTCTGTTTCCATCGTAACGGCGCTGGTTCTCGTGCCCGAGCTGGAGTCCTGTTCGGCGGAGAACTGCTAACGGACCACCGCCCTGCGTTTCACTCTAGCCGAAACATGCTGTGACTCCATAACCTGCCAATAAACAAACAATAAACAGCTCTGAGGACATGTTTTAACATCCAAACAAAGTATTATATTCTGTATTTTTATGAATAAAATCGTTTATTTTATGCAAAGCATCAAGCTTTTCCATCACACAAAAAGACCGCGACACTCGTTAAAGGTGATTCACACCACGCGCCTGTATGTTGCTCTGCATAAAATTGAACGATTTACAGCACAGTAACGATTTTATAGATAAAATAAAATGTACATAAACCTGTATTTTACCGAAGAATGCATCAATTCGATGGCGCTTAGAACTGCTCTCTCGTTAAGAGAAGACACAAAATCCCCGCCATAAATAACTCAACCGCTGGGTTACGTCTGACCCTGGATCTGAGTAACACTAAAACTACCCAAACATTGGGTTGTTATGTCTGACCCAGGAGCTGCAAAACAACCCAAACACTGGGTTGTTACATTTGACCCAGGAGCTGGGTAACACAAAAACTACCCAAACACTGAAAAAATAACCCAAAAAAAATGACCCAAAAGGCTCAACCCAGCATTTGGGTTAAAAAAATAACCCAGGATTTTTTAGAGTGTAGCATTGATGAGCATAACAAACTTCTTCCAAAAAACATTTAAAAAACATTAAAAATTCTTTCTTTCTTTCTTTCTCTTCTTTTTACCTCATTGGCAATTTGTTTTGTTTTAGGTTACGTTTATGCTTAAAAATGCCAGTGGGGTAGGGCAAATAAGCTTCAAAGATGTATACTCTCATAATATTTTATCTTGCATGACTTTGCTAAGCAAGTAAATTTGTCTTGTTTTAAAGATGATGTATGTGTGCTCTAGTGGCAAAACACTCATTATTCTCAACTAGGACTAAGAATAACCTTACGCAATTTACACAGATATTAATGCCAGTCTTTCTCTCACTTCATGCATGTTTCATCTTACAGTGTGTGCTGTGTTGATGATCCTTACATATTATTTACATAATGGATTTGGAATTTAAAACTTAAAACTGTAAAAATAATCACCGTGGTGTTGTCATTATCTTTGACTTCGCTGAATAAGGCATTAGTTAATATCGCTGCAGTCAGGAGTGAACACAGACACAGTGGTAATGTGCCAGCTGAGGTGGAAGAGCATTCAGGGAGGCATGGAAAATCCCAGGGGTACGAGAAAAAATGAAGAGTGTCCTCCCTGAGGAGGATGTAGAGAGCGATATCGCCTCCGCTCCCCATTCTTTTCGAGTGCCGTCTGGACTCTCACACCCCTCTCTCAACACTCAACATCTTCTGTTAGTATCATAAATGTCAAACAGAAGCCTGTGCCAGGAGTGTCACCACTAACATTATTGTGTTTGTCTTCACCTCCCCCCATCACAGAATGCACACTGTTTAAACAGATAGGACGCATCCGGCCTGTATCACACATGCTTGTGTACATATCCTTGTGGAGACGTCCTGTTGACATTTGTTTTATAATATAATATAATTTATTATTACATTTTACATCTGTTTAATAATACTTTTTCCAAGGTTAGCAAAACATGAACGCAGCCACAAAAATAAACATGCATAAACGGACAGCAAGCAATAAATTGTAATTGCAGTAGATGATTTGATATATTTGTTTTAGTACCTGTGTGGCTATGGACCAAAACCTTTTTTCCAACATCTCAAGAGTCATCTGTACACCAATGGCTAGGCAGGAAAGAAACACAGACACAAAAATTAGAAAAGATAATGATTTTCATATTTATTTAGTATTATAACATATAAAATTAAATATACAAACATGTATATGTGAATAGTTGACTGAGACATTTTTTTTTTTGCTGAAGACCTGTTCCATTTGACTGGGATATTATCCCAGCATGCATCAGTAGCCGCCCACTCTCACAAGCTTAAACATACAAAATGTGCTGATATCTTATGTCTCAGTCCTGATAGCTCATATATTAAACCTGATATCTCATTCCTCAACCCTATACCTCATACTTCAGTTTATTACCTTAAACCCAGTACCTCATATATCAAACCCGATACCTAATAACTCAATCTGTACATCCGTGTCCCTCATAAACTGCTGCTTTTACACAACACGGTTTTGTTGTTTAAGGACTCTGTGTAATTAGTAGGACGGTTAGAATTTGCAATGAGCTGATGGGTCTGATTAAACTGCAGTAAATTGTTCGTTTGAGTAAAAATCCTTTAACTTCAATAATTCAGAGAGAGAGAGACCAGAGCAGGACCATCTATCATGCTGAAGCTAATTAATAGAGTTGGATAATAAAGAGCCAGAGAGTGGAAGGCAGTGTTGGTAATAGCTGCTCGGGGTGGGGAAGATGGCTACCAGAGGAAAGACAATCTCTTGAATTAATAGATGTGTATTATAAAGCCCTAGACCCGGCAGACATACTGTAACAACACTGGAAGATTACAGTCACCATGTCTCCTCCAGCATCCTAAAGATTTGGACAACCCTGTAATGAAGATTACCCAAAAATAGTGATGAGCGAGCTCGCAGACGCATCCCAGCACAGTTAGAAGTGTGAATGACGGAAGACATGTGACTCCAGCAGAGCAGATAATTTAGTAAATACCCAGTTTTCTGAGCTTCTGTCATTCTCTTTTCCACACAAACATCCCACACACAAAAACAAACACAATGATGTGATACAGCATGAAGCCTCAACCAAATCCTCAGAGCGACAGCACGGCGAGCAATCAATCCTACTTAAACTGAACAGATTTTACCATTTGATGGTTAAATACAAAACCTTTAATGAGGGAGCAATGGGATGTGAGTGAGAAATGTGTGAAATATATGTGGCACTTTCCATGAATAGACTACAAAAACAGAGATTGAAATTCTCAAATATCAAATATTTCCTCTCTTTCAGCAAATGATTCGTCAACCCAAGGTCAATATATAAGCTGTTATATATTCCATTCATTTAATATGAGGTTTTTAATTAAGATTTTTATAGCCCTGCTACTAATATGTAAATGCAGTTTATAATAATTTGTGTAATTTTGTTCAACAAACATAGCAATAAAGAGTAAATATCAATTCAGACAAAATGTAATAAATGAGCCTCAATGAAGCTGCTAGTTTTTAGTTACTGATAAATGCTTATTTCCCAATTAAAAATGCAATCAATACTACAGCTTGTGTAAAAAAATTGAGAAAATGCTTTAAACTTTACTTGATTTTGTGCTGTGCTGAAAAAAGGGTCTAAACTTTTTTTTAAATTAACGTGCTTAAAATGTGGGACCCTGCTAAATATTTGGTTTTGGTCATTATAAATTATAATTAAGAGTAAATTATTTAAAATTAATTTGATTAATAGAAAATAGAAAATTGGGGCCAGATTTACTAAACAAGGCAAATTAGTGTTAGAGCGCAATTCCATAAAAGCGCCGATGGGAGGGGAAAATTCTGTGGGTGATTTACTAACAATGTGCACAATAAAGAACACAGACGCAGCCAGATCATTTCCATAATGACCAGCGCAATCTACCAAGAGCAGCGCAAATTACCGCCTGCTTTAAGACATGCTTTTTGGGGCGTTAAATAATGGCGCAAATACCAGTAATTTGATGAGCGCAAACGTTAGTAAATCACGTTGTGTGATTTATTTTAATACTCTCCTCCCTTAAATTTTGCGTCTGAAAGGGAAACTCCTACAAATGCATATTCAATAAGGTCAGGCACAAAAATAACTGTGTCCATGCCTTTTCAGCGCTAATTCTTCACTGCGCGTCTTTAGTAAATCCTGACAATACTATTTTAATGCCAAAAGACAGTTTGCGCTGGTGCAAGCTGTTACTACATCTGGCCCTTAATGTTTAAACCTAGCTTGAAATGTTCATTTAAGATAAGTTACTCAAGTTACAAGATAATTTACATTTAATAGTTCGCACAACAAAAAACATGGATTTGTGCCTCTAATGCGTTCAAAATAATAAAAAAAACATTAGATATAATTGTCAGGGGTGCGGTGTATAATGAGCGCGCGAAGAAGATGATGAACGTAAACAGTCTTTAATTTTAACACTGGACGAGGGAACACAAGAACAGACTAGAAATAAATACATTGGCAAATGAGGATAATTAACGAAACACCTGAACCAAATGATACAATCAGACGGAGACAGAAACTAGGTCAAACAGAGCACATGGGGGAAGAAAACACAACAAACAGTCCTTGGGTCTGACAGTTCGCCCCCCTCCCGGAAGGCACAACCTCGCGCCGCAGGAAAAACAAAGGGAAGGACGGAGGGGGACTTAGGAGGAGGACACAAGGAGTGGAGAAGGGATGGTGACAGGGGATGGCAAAGGGCTGGCAGGAAGGCAGGCAGACAAATACTGGAGGAGGTTTGGGCAGAGGACAGACACCAGGGAGGTGGACGACCAACAGAGTCCAGGGTGGAGACGACGGAGGGAGGAGCAAGGAGGGACTTGGAGGAGCCAGGCAGGTCCCAGGCTACAGCCATGATGGCGGCCCACGGTGGAGCCGATGGAGGGAGGAGCCATGGTGGAGGAAGGGCTGACGGCTCCAGGGGGCCGACCGATGGCAGCGGAGCAGGTGGTGGTGGAGCCCGAGGTGGAGACGTAGAGCCGAAGAGCCAGGGTGATGTTGAGAATCCGGAGGGCCAAGGCGGAGCAGATGGCTCCAGCGACCGAGGCGGAGGCGGGGATCCAGAAGGCCGCAGTGGAGCCGGAGCGACAGAGGACCAAGGTAGAGCCGGAGGGAATGAGGAGCCTGACAGAGCCAGAGGGATGGAGGGACGAGGCGCAGCCAGAGGAGTGGAGTCCCGAGGCGGCGGATGGTCAACGACAGACCAAGGCGGAGCCGGAGGGACGAGTGAGCCCGGCGAAGCTGGTGGACTGACGGGCCATGGCGGAGAGAAGGAAGCTAGGAGCCATGGTGGAGCCGCTGGGTCGGAGGGCCGAGGCAGAGTCCAGGACTCAGAGGCTGGAAGCGGAGACAAGGGATCCTCCAGCCACAACACTGATGGAGACTGGCAGACCCGCGGCGATCCCGCGGAGAGCTGAAGAAACCGGGATGACAGAAGGAGGCTGGAGAGGGAGGCTGGGTGGGAAATCCAGACAGGTAGAGGGTTCAGGGATGGTGTGTGCTGCCCACACACCACATCGCGACTCCCAACACTGGGAGTGCGGTGGACAGGGGAACGACCACCGTGGTCGTTTCAGGACTGGCAGATAGTTCAGGGCAGACAGATAGTTCAGACAAAGGCGGGAGAAGAGGGGGTATTGTCTGCATATATATTCAAATAATAGTCCACTGAGCTCGGCTCACCCTCAGCCATGGTGCAGTAGGCGGAGCCTCCCCCCGCGCTCTCACTGTCCATAGCGCTCTCCCCCGTGGCGAGCACCTGGTCTGACATCACGGGCTCTGGCTCCGAGGTGATCCTCAGCTCTGTCGCTCCATTAGGCGATGGCTCGTCGGTTGAGGCTGGCTCGGGCTCTCCGTCAGCGGTGGGCTCAGGCTCTTGCTCCGCGCAGCGTGGTGATGGTGGGCTGGGCTCTGGGTCTTGTCTTGTCTTGAAACATGGCATCCCTCCAGTTCAGTCCCGTGGTGTCTGGGAGGTCCACAGGGCAATGGTAATTAGCCCCGATCCGAAACAGGGATTTCAACGTATTCAAAGTATCAAAGTATTTCAATCCATACTTTTTTTTCTCTTTTCAGGTCCAGTGTTCTGTCAGGGGTGTATAATGAGCGCACGAAGAGGAAGATGACAATAATAGTGTACCAAATTTGTGGAATGTAAGTCAGAGTATAATCAGAGACAGAGAGGTGTGTGTGTTCATGAGTGTGTGAATGTGTGCTATTTTAATTATGTAAAGCAATACCTCGTTATTTAAGAATAAGATTCGTCTGGTCGTAATAAGCTTACTGTCCAGGCCTCAGCTCGTGTGTGTGGGTTGTTGAAGTAGAGATGAACCGAGTGTGTACTTCATGTATTGTTTTAACTGGTTCACTGATCTGTGCAGTGGATTCTGCTATACTTTATGGTTTTAAGCTTATCTTAATATGCATTTCAAATTCGAAATTATATTAATGTATACTAAATTATGCTAATGTAGTTCATATCTATTTTAATACGCCAGGACTGAACTGCAGGGTGTGTGCGATGGAAAACAGAGCAGCAGGGTCTTTACATTGCAGATTATCGCGAAGAGCTCAATTAGCATACGCTAACAGTGAGTCAAAAAACACCCTCTCAATCCCCCACCTCTCTCTCTCTCTCTGTTTCTTTCCCTCTGTTGCTTAGGTAACATGATGTCAGCGCAGCCCCTACCGACACCTTGAAGACTCACCACCAAAATATGACACTATCCTCAACGTGAGCAGCACACACGGGATCATCAATGTACGCACCCACATGCACACTTCATAACATACCGGGCTTCTGATAAGGAGAGAAATGGCATGGTAAGGATTTAATGGAGCTGTAGTGCTTTTTCTTGTCAATGTCTGGCATGTGAAAGCATGTGGGCGGCACTGAGGTCCTTCTGAAGTACACGGTGTGTTGCAACAGCCCACAACACACAGGAGGTAAATGCTTCTGATGTCGCAGAATGCTTTTCCTCTTATAAATAGCTGCAATGGATGCATTTCTCCTTTTTTCTGAGGTGCTGGCCTGCATGCCTCTATGCATTATTCAGAACACCAGGCAATAGCAGGAATGTTTGTATACGTGGATGACATTTGGTCTAGTTAGTCCATGTGAACAATGGCCAGTACATGTATGATTACATTCCTGCACTGTTGCATGATGGAAGCACTCTGAGGACATCACAGAGTGTAAAATGCATCGCTGCTGGCGTTGGCTACATGTGATTGGATCAATCTATCCATTCATCTATCCATGCATACATCCATTCATCCATCCGCACATAAACAAGTGAGGAAGAATCATGTTTTTTTTTTCAAATAGATTCACATGCAGCCATTAAAAGCAGCAATGATGATCTGTTTATCTATATACATAATTGATACATTATAGGTCAGACAGATCTACATGATAGATGGATGGATGGATGGATGGATGGATGGATGGATGACATACAGCCGGATAGATGATGTCGTGACATCACAGAAAGCAAAATGCATCGCTGCTACTATCTATCTATCTATCTATCTATCTATAAAGAAGGAGAAAGAATCAGCTGTTTTCTTGACCCCTCCTCTCTCCCCTCATCCCTCACTAATGTTACTATCTTTGACAAGGCTGGCACACGCTTACACTGCACGCCTCACCACATGCACATATGGAGAAAGCAACACACACTTACTCACACAGACACACATGCGCACCAAAGGCTGGCCTGAGGACAGCACGCGTTTGAGAGACAACCTCCTGACACACACACACACACACACACACACAAGAGTGCATTCTGTGGACTCAATATACCAACACAGAGGCGAGCCGATCTGCTGGAAACCACAGAGAATTGAAAGACTGGAGCACACCTCCCCCTCCTCTTCCCCCCTCTCTCACTCTCTCTCTTCTCTCTCTCTGTGTCCTCCTCTCTCTGAGCAGTACAGCAAGGCATTGCGCAGGATTTAACTCCCCTCCTTCATCTCCCTCTTCTTTATTTTAATCGTTTTTTTCCTTCCTCCAATCCATCTCTCCTTCTGTGGCAGCCGTTGCTCTTGGCAGCGGAAGGATATTTTCATTTCCATATTGGAGCGTTACGAGAGCTGCTATCCGCTCATTTCTCCCACAACCGTGTGTGTGTGTGTGAGAGAGAGAGTGTGTGTGTGAGCT